AAGACCTCTCCTGTCTCGCCCACTGCTCCCCTCAGCAGTGTATTTTGGTTAGTCTGCCTGCTCTATTCCCCTCTGTCTCTGGTGAATCCTCTCACCCCCCTCATCTCTGGTCTGTACCCCAGCTCTTTTATGCATAAATAAATAAATCTTAAAAAAAAAAAAAAAGACTGAGTTAGTTCTATGCCAATTGACCTGGTCAGATACTCATAATATACTGCAGGATGAATAAAACAATTGCATAGTAATACATTAGAATTCTTGTTTAAAAAACCCCAATAACTATATTTTAGATGTATGGATAAAGTTGGAAAGTGATACACAAACCTCGTACTCAAAATTGGTTACCTTGAGTAAAGTGGAAATTGGAAAGTATAGCAGGAAACTTTTTATTCATATGCTTTTGGATTGTATCATTTGTTACAATAAGCAAAAATGCATTTACAGGATAAAAAATTAATAGAGAAAACATTCTTCTGATTTTTATAAACAAAGATGTTTATAAATAAATATTATAGGTTTAACTGCTTACAAAGGTCATAAAAAGAAATATAAAGCCCAGAAGTCTTTTTTTCTAACTCTTCTTTCTTCTAACCTTGATTTCATCTGGTGAAACTTCCATCTGCTTTCCCTTGGAATCTCTAACTTCTCACATACGTCGAACAAGTAAATCTCTACATTTACATCGACATCGCAACCCTGTGATACTTTCTGACCCTGCCCACATTTCAACTAGTTATCATGCTTCACCTTATCTGTCTGTTTTATACAGAGGTCTTTGTGTGCAGTGACTCTCATGGATTTTTTTTTTTTTTTTTGTGGGACCCTCGCCGGTGGCAGCGGAAAGAACCAGTGCGGCAGAGACTGCGGGCAGCCTCGCAGCCCAGTGCTCATCTGCTGCGCCACCAGGTGAAGCCCTCTCATGGATTTTTTTAAAGATATATTTTATTTATGAATACAAGAACTGGGGTACAGGCCAGAGATGTGGGGTGAAAGGATTCACCAGAGAGAGTGGGGAGCAAAACAGGCAGATCTACTGAAATCCACTGCTGAGGGGAGCAGTGGGAGAGACAGGAGAGGTCTGCTGTGCCATGTGGGTTGCTTCCTGGCCAGCCAGGGATCAAACTCATTGAGGCAGTGGCTCAGTGGCTGCTAATTGCTTGATGGCGCTGTCTTTAACCCCTGCACCACCAGGGAGGCCCCTCTCATGGATTTTTTTCAATTCCTAGCTCCTCTGTTTCTCTTTCAGGTGAATGGTTTCGAGTCCATGCCAGTCCATATATTAATCCAGCAGATTTCTACACCATGGACTGCCTTCTTGATCCATTCTTGGCTTCTTTAACATCTCATTCTCTCTCTTATATCATAAGCAGAAAGGAAGGGAAAGAGATGGTTACGAAATTTTGGGGAGGGTTGGGTTCAGAGTGACCCTCAAGGTGAGACTGCAGTGCCCCACCAGGGCTGCTGTAACCCTGAAAGTTGCACACTCTTACCTCTGACCCAGGGGATCAGAAAGCTTGACTTTAGATGGGGCCTCTGCTCTCCTAATCCTTCAGCAATAGACAGCCTCTTGGTATCCAGGAAGCTAGTCAATGGGCACTGGAACTGGTGAGGAAGGCTCAAGTTTATGCTGCTGCCTCAGCAGGAAATCATCCAAAAGGAGCAGAAAGCTGACCCCTGCCTCACCCCCAAACCTGAAATATCACATGAGTGTAACTCACTGGGTGGACTTCTTTCAGAACAGAATCCTAGCTGCAAAAGAGCTATCTGATGTTTGTCTCTCCTGCTTCGATGTAAGCTTCTGAGGGCAGAGATCATGTTTAGCTGGCTTACCACTCTATTACCTCTCTGTCACTGTGCTCGTTCCCATTTAAGATTGCTAAGGGAGCAGTGCTGGAGCAGGCAGTGTTCTAAATCTTTCTATGTGTTAACTAATTCAATGCTCATCACAAACCTTGGATGTAAGCATTATTACTCCCATCCCACTCCCAATGTATAGATGTATAATAGTCTCAGAGAGGTAAAATAAGTTGCTTAGGTTACAAAGTGGAAAACAGAATTTGAACGTCACACTTCAGACTCAAAGCCTGCAGTCTTACTGGGTACATTTTACTGCTTCAATATTTATTGGAAGCATGTCTGCTTAAATGTTTGATGAATTGAATTGCACAGATAATTGCTCAGGCAAATTCATAATTATAGAGTACCTCTATAGCAAAGTCTAACATGTTTATGAAGATTATTTTATTTTACCATCTATACTAGAAACCTTTTCTGATCCTTGCCAAACCATAAGAGATAATCTGTCCAAAGGTGAATATGACTAGTGATTTAAGTAGGATGAAATAACATACCTCTGAGACTTATGATAACTTGGTAATTAGAGAAATATGCTTGAGTATTTTTTTTACTAATAGTTAAAGAGAACTTTGGGTGCCGTACACATCAATGTTAAAAGAACAATGACCATAAGTCTCCAAGTTTCATTTCTAGTTAAAAGTTAATAGATAAGTCAATTAATTTTAAGTTGTTGCCTTAGTCACTTTTGATTGTCACTTGATTGTGGCATTGGGAGAACAAAATGCATAGACAGGATAATTGGGCAGCTTTCCCTTTTCCCCCCAACCCCAGTTTAGCTTTATTGCTGACATGAAATGCTCTCACCTGCACTTTCATTTCTATATTTAACAACAAGAGTAACACTTCTGTTATAAGGTTGTTCTAAGTAGCAAGTGATGATGTTTGTAAAATTCTTTGAACTGTGAGAAGAAAGGTATTAATAAATACCAAAGCACAAATTAAATAGTGCACTATTTAATGAGGGGTTGATGATTCAGGAGGACTGAGTCATTATTAATGCAATGCTCTAAAAGAGTAATTGCAAAAGATGTTTCATGTATTCTTAGACTACCAGATATTTAGAATCTTACAATTTTTAAGACTACATCAATTTGATTACTGAAGCAATATTGAGAAGAGAAAAACAGTTGATTCTAAAGGAGATGACTTAAAAGGGTAGAGGCTTCTTATTGATATAGACGGGGAAACTGGAATATATCCAGTTCAGGCTTCCCATTGAACTCACGTTGAATGGGCAGCCATTGTCCCTTAGGAATTGACTGGGAACTTCCTCAGCATGCCATGCCTGCTAATTGACTGTTTACACATTGGGGATTACCAAACTTTCCGGTAATGTCCATCTAGTTGTGGAAGAGGCAGTTCAAGCCAAGGCTAACTGTACCCATGGTTAAGTTCTTAGGCAAGCAAAATAATAATAGTATTACCTAAGTACTTTATAAATAAAATTATTATTTTTATTATTAACTGGAGTTTGTAATGACTTTTATGGCCAAACATATGTGGGACACTATCCTGTGGAATGATTATCAATCTCAATTTTTTTAACCTTAAGCCCACATTTTGATAAACATACAATTTGTGTTCTTCTATAATAACAGAATAATAATAATAATAGTAATAATAATAAAGGGAAAGGTAAATTTAGAATGTTTTTCCAACTATTTAAGCACTCCCATCTTCTCAAGTTTTCCAGACTGAAGATACATTCCTCTGCGTGCATCATCTTCCGTGAATGCTAGATTAGCAGTTCTGGAGAGCTATTCCCAGATGGGCTCTGATAGCTGATTACACGTTAAAACTTGGACTTTGTGCCTATGCCTAGACTACGTTTCCATTTGTCTCATTATTTTCTAGACAAACTGGCCTGCTACTTCATGGCCGTAGCATCAATTCGCCCCTTGTTTCATGGTGTTTCCTGGGGAGTTAAATTCAAGTCGTAGCATAAAAGTTTATTTACAGCACGTTCATTTGTTTCACTTGATGCTCCTGCCCCTGATTACCCTGGCAATCGGCTGAAGAATGGTCAGCAACTTTGCGGCTGGGATTTTTCTCCTTTGGTCCCATTTACTGCAGGGATACCGTCAACGACACAGAAGGAATTCACCTCCAACACGGGAACATGACAACTGTTTGGGTCTGTCAATAACCAGAACTGAAGAACAGACTCCAGCGAACAGACGCTAGAGACTTTGACTCTTGTTTGTTGATTTATGCTGAGTCTTGCAGATTTCCCCAACGGCACGTTGCTTCTGAAATGCCTTTGCATCACTGGAGAGAATTCAGGAAGCAGGGGACGACTGCGTGGAATATGACAGAGAATTGAGCTCTACCAATGGAGGAGTGGATAGAACGAGCGAGCAAAATAACAAATATCAGCCTGCGTTCCTCACGGTGCATTTTTCATTTTTAACCGGGGGATCTCGCCGTATCCAAAAGTTTTTTTTTTTTTTTTTTCTTTTTCAGCGTAGCCGACACTCTCCGAGCTAAAATGAGCGTCAGGCGCTCCACCCCACCGCCTTCAGCAGCCCTCCCGCCCCTCCCGCCCCGGCAGCCGCACTACAGCTCCCAGGCAGCCGCGCTCCCCGCGCGGGCACCAGGCCGGGCCGAGGCTCCGCCCCGCGCGGAACGTGCCGGGAAACGGCGTGAGCGGGCCTGGCTCCCCTTCCTCCTTCCATGAGGCATTCCCACTCGGGGGTGTGACACACCGCCACGGCGGGCTCCCCCGTTTCGTAACCGGAGCTAAACGTGCCCGAGGCGTGCGTCCTCCGCCCGGCGGGGCCCCGCGCCCGACTAAGGAGCCGGAGCCCCGCCCCTGGTCCACACCCGCTCCCTTGACAGCTGAGCTGCGCTCGGCGCGACGGCGAGGCCGGCAGCGCGCAGGCGCACCAGTGCTCGCCGCGCCGGCAGGGCGAGGGGGCGGGCCGAGCGCGAGGCGCTCCTGGCCGCCGGGGCGCGCACGTAGGCACGCAGGGGCCGTCACGTGGGGCGCCGAGGATCGCAGTGCGCGTGGCCGCGGCGGCTGGTGTGGGGTTGAGTCAGTTGTGAGACCGGAGCTGCTGACCCGGCGGGCGGCCCCCCGACGCGGCGACAGAGCGGAAGGCGTCGGGGCGCGGGAGCCGTGAGCTGGCCCCATCGTCGAGCTCGGCCGAGCCGGCGCCGTCGCCCGTCCTCAGCCAGCAAACCGCCGCCGCGGGCGCGCCCCCGCTCTGCGCTGTCTCCGATGGCGTCCGCCTCCGGGGCCATGGCGAAGCACGAGCAGATCCTGGTCCTCGACCCGCCCACAGACCTCAAATTCAAAGGTGGGCTGGAAGCGGGCGGCGGCCGACCGGGCGCGCGGGCGGGCGGGGGGCTTGCTTTGCGGCGGGCGGGGCGCGCGGAGGGCTGGTCGGTGGCGGGCCCGAGGCGGCCCCCTCCCCACGCGCGGCACCGTCCGGCTCGGCGCGCCGCGCGGTCCTCGGCCTGCCGCTCCGCGCCGGGCCCCGCCTGGGCCGCTCGCGCCGCGGGCGCGCGCCGGCCCGGGCGAGGTGGCGGTGGAGGGGCCCGGCCCGGCGCCGCCGCCATCTTGCGGTCCCGCGGGGGCGCCTCCTGGGTGCTGCCCGCGCCGCCGCCCGCGCCTGGCACTTGTCCTTGGCCCCCGAGGGCCGCCGGGCGTTGTCTCGGAGGGTGTGGGGTGGGCGGTGACCTTAGAGCGCGCGCCCTCGTGGGCGGCGGGAAGGGGGGCTGCGGGATGGCGCAAGTGCGTTGGGCTCCCGCGCCGGCTGTCACCGCGGTGGGAGGCGAGGCGGGGCGGCGGCCCCTGGACTCGGTTCCGAGAGAGCCGGCCCTCGGCCTCCGTCCGCCGCCGGAGAGCCCGGGTGGAGCCGGCCCTCGGCCCCGGGGAGGGTGTTGCGCTCCACCTTTTCGCCCGGTTTGCAACTCGGCTGTCAGGTACGCGGGGCGCCGGGGAGCCGGCGCCGCCCGTGAAGTCTCGGGTTTTGACTTCACCCGGCTGGGTTGGCGGAGCCCCAAGCGCGTGCGGGCAGAAAAGCTATGCGTCAGCCTGGGAGTTGGTAGTAGTAGGTTTATAGTAGTCGTCTTCCCGGGCCTCTGAAATGACATTTCAGCTTACCATCCGTGTAGGTCAGACCTGGTGTTTGTCTGCTCCCGTCTAGTCCTTTAACTTAGCTCGTTTGCTGCAAAATCTTCGGTGTTTGTGACCTTTGCCTTAAGGTTCGTAGTTCCACAGCAAACCCCGAGAAGGCTGATATGTCACTTAGTTTAGGAGAGCCGTTGGTTTATTTTGTAGCAACGCCTCGATAAATTGTTAGTTTGATTGGTGATCCTGGAGGAATCCATGGGACTGTTTGGCCCATTCTCTTTTCATTATGTAGGATACTTTAGGAGGACGTTAAACCGAATGGGTTAAACTTTTTGAAGGCATACCGAAAGAATGAGAATCCTAAGCAGAAAGCAGATTACATCCTATCTTCAGTTAGTGAAAACTGAATCGCCTTTTGGAAGATTCAATATCTCATATTTCAGTTTTAGTAACTTTGATGAGAACATTTTTATGAAATGTGTAGTAACTCCAGTGCTTTAAACAAATTAAATCCTCTCTCTGTACAGGGTTGAGTATAAAAGAACAATTATTATTTTCCATAGGAAAACTTTCGAATAGTTATAGGAATTTTAAAATGCTGTGTTATGGCATCATGAGAGTGATATTGTACAGCTCCTTTTATTTCGCAAGCTTTTTAGTGCTTTTGAAAATATCTGAAGTGTAAGTGTGCTGCTTCTTATATTGGATTTGGTTTGCAGATAACTAAGAACTGTTTTCAGGGCATTGAAGTACAGTTTATTGTAGCAAGTGTTGCATGATTTTACGTAATTTTAGCAGAAAGAAAAAAAGCACCTTTGTGGAATCGTGAAATTACCCATCTCAAATAACCATTGTCTTAAATTGGAGGAATTTAATGTAAGCCTTTCTGATGTGTGTTCTTTGGAGAATTTCAGTATTATTTTTACTTTTTTGACAGGCTGAGTTTACGGAGGAAATTTCCTCTCCTCAGTCACCTGCTGTGTATTGCCATTAAGAACTTAGAAGTCTTCAAGAACAATTTTAGGCCATGAAATGTCTACCGAATTTGAAGTTTTCTCACTGGAGAAGTTGTACTATTGCCATAGTTAGAGATTAATAGAGAAGCGAATTTAAAACAAAATAAAAAACCCTGCACTGTGACTTATCCATATATTTCACTTAATTTAGGTATTGAAGAATTACAGCTGTAATTATAGAATAGGTTGTTCCTGTGTTATGAAAGTAATTCATAGATTCATTTAAAAAAAGTTTGGACATCAGTGACCACCTTTTAAAAATTGACTTAAAGTGTTTCTTTGCAAAATTTATAAGGACACACCTTCAATTGAGCCATTTATTTAGCAAATAGTTACTGAAAACTTTGTGTGTTCCCTATATTTGGTTATGAGTATTTAATGATGAGTAATTCATTCAAAAGATTTCAGCTTATATTTGGGGATTCAGTGCTAAGCAAAATGGAGAGAAAAGAGTCGCAATTTAATGGAGAAAGCAAACAGTTAAATAACAGTAAAACATTTTAGGTTTTATCTTTCTTTGCCTTTGAAGAACTCCGAGGCTCAAGAGGGAGACAGAAAAGCCATATACATACTATTATAAAGGGTAAACAAGTATGAGGAAAGAATTCCCTTTTCCCTGGCTCCCACCTCCCCTTTAGGGAGCTTTCTTGGGAGAGGTTTGTTTTCAGTTAGGGAGTGGGGGAGGGATGGGCAAGGGAGTAGTTGTTTACTCACCTGGATAGAGAGAATGGTTTATATACCAGATGTGTGCTTCTGTTGTAAGGTGGAGTAATGGGGAGGATTGAGAGGAGGTGCAGGATGAATTAGGAGGTGACATTTAGTGTCATTTGATCCTTCCTCCTCAGTGTTAGTCCAAGGTAAATAGTTTGCTTTGATGGAAACCTGTCTATATTCCTGTGCACAGCTCAGTACTAAGTGAGGAGACTCATTTATAACCAACAGTTTCCTTATTCTCAATTTGGTGATATAAAAAAAGCCATGAACTCTTATTTGCCATAAATCACCTTTAATTTTTGGTTAAGTAAAGATCTGTTAAAGGATAGTTTCGCAAATTTTAAATGTAATCTTCTCATAGGTTTTTAACAATTATTTTTACTCTACATTTCACTAGTAATGGTTTCTCCAAGAATGATTTACTTAATCATTCATTGGGTGGTGAACTTTTTTGGTATGAGTAATACAATCATCTTAATATGAATTATCAGTACACAATTTTGGAGAAGCAGATTATCAGTTCAATACAATTTCTATATACTTCAATATTAAAAAATATTTTATACAGTTGTCAGTATATGAAACTACTTTTATAGTGGTGTAATGAATTCTAAAATCTTTCTTTGGTTGTGTTAGTAAAGAGAAGAGTAGATATTTTCAAACTCTGTTTAAACACTGGTAAAATTTAACCAAGAATTCAAATTTGACTTTTGTTGTTACTGTTTATGTGAAAGACTATATTTTTTTGTTACTAAATTTTTCACTATTGTAAAATTTTCTCTTGCATTGTGTGTTTTATTTTTCCTACTTATTAGTAGTTTTGGAGTAAAGTTTGAAGGAAAAAGTTGAGAAAACACTAAAGTGAATTGCATGTATGTTCTTTTCAATAATTAGAGTAAGAGGAAAATAGACCAAAACCAGTGTATTGAATGAGGTGACCGATGACAATACCAAATTAGTAAAGAAAATTAAGTTCTCAGAGGGACCAGAGCATCTTTGTTTAACAGCACATTTGAGAAGCACAAATGAAGATACAGAATACTTCTATTCTTGGGGAAATATCTGTTATATTTTTAGACATATTCCTATTTCACAGTGGCCACATCAAATGCTAAGGGTAATACCTGCCTCTCTTCCCCACCTCCCAGGACATAGATGTCATCTTACAACTCCTTTCCTTAAAACTTTCAAGTAGGTTTTGATTGCCTCTGAATAAAAGTCCATAATTTTTTTTAGTGTGGCATACAGGCCCCCCTTTCATCATGTGGTGATTCCTGTTGTAACACTCACTCATCTTCACAAATCCATACTTTCTTCTCTGAGGGAAAAAAAACCTGTCCAAACCTATTTTGTCTCCTTTTGCTGATTAAGTTAAAATCCCTCTTTACTAATACTTAGACTCTGTTCCATCAGAGATTTTCCCATTTGTGTTTTCAACACTGACTTCTTCCTTTTCACATAAAAGCACACCTAAGTCTTTCATTAAAAACAAAAAACAAAAGACAAGTGGAATACCACCTTGACCCCATCTACTTTCAATGTCCTTCATTTCCTTTGTAGTCAGATTTCTTGGGAAAATAGCCCTTGCTCACTGCCTTGCCAGTTTCTCACCTCCTTTCACCTCTAGTCCTATTTCTATCCTTAACTGTTTGTTGAAAGCCAACTGCATTGATCATTTCCAATATTTGTCCCATGTGACTTCTAGCTTTCTTTTTTGTTCCCTTTATTGTCTTATTCGTAGCCTTTTTCTTAAATCTGATGTGTCAGATTCTGATTTAATTTCCTTTTAATCTCAGAACTTTCCTTGTTTAGTCTTGTTTTGAAGGATTCTTTCTCTTGTTTTGAGATCCTCTTTCTTATCCTTGTGCTCTCTTTACATGTTGTTACACACTTGTCTACGTTTTAATTCAGGTTTATACATGTGTTTTAGAACACATTACTTATTGACGGTCTGGATTTGAATGTTTCTCAGACATCTCACACTCAGTATATCCTGATCCTACCCAGTTCTACTTTTTTTTTTTTTACTACCCAGTCCTACTCTTCTCCCACATTTTTTATTTTTGTGACCTTATGATTACTCATACCAGATACTCTGCACATCTTATAATGAAAATCTGTCTACCGTCCAGTGATAATTCTTGAAACTGTCCCCTTTAATAGAGTTGTACTTGCAAATTCATTCTTTTTCAATTTATACAATACAGAATTGAGATTCTGCTATATGTAATTCATGATATTCATGATAAATATGTTTTGGAATTAGACACTAATTTTGAGTAAAACATAATCTTTGCTTTAATGGCTGTAAAGAGGTACATAATGCTGTGAGACTGTAAAATAGGGTAGTTTGATCAGAGAAGGCTTTCACAATTGGACTATGATTTTTCAAGAGTGAGTGGAAGTTATCTAGCTGAAGAAGAAAGGAAAACCCAGTATAGTAGGAGCAGCATATACAAAGATCCTGAGGCAGGAGGGAACAGGAAACATT